GATAGGTATGATAATGGGAGCATCTGCATCATCAGTTTGGTATAATGTAAGAGTTCGTCATCCGACAAAAGAAGTACCAATCTTAGATTATGATTTGGCTCTCTTGTTTCAACCAATGCTTCTCCTTGGTATCACTGTTGGTGTTTCTCTCAGTGTTGTTTTCCCTTACTGGCTCATCACTGTCCTCATCATCTTTCTTTTCGTCGGTACTTCTTCAAGATCTTTTTTTAAAGGTGTTGAGATGTGGAAGGAAGAGACTTTGTTGAAGGTTTGTTTCTCATTGAGTAATGTATGTGGGTTTTTATATTGTTGTGGGGAGGGTACTGATTGGTTTTTATGTGGCTATTCAACAGAACGAAATGGCGAATCACCGAAAATCCGGGGTTAATTCCCGAGGAGAACGTGCGTCACACTTGTGCTTCCTTTTTCCTGTTTCTGATGAACTGGGGTTTGATCTTCTTAAACTCACCATAATCTTTATTTCCTTGTTGGTTCTACGCAGTCTTAATCGACACAGAGTATGAGCCGCTTTATCCTCGAGAAGAGAAATCAGAACTGGTAAGTAATCAAATTGATGCAATTGATTGGCTGGCTCTTCACTTGCATATAAGGTTTCAGGAATTGGATTTTATTGTTTACTCGCAGGAAATAATAAGGTCCAACCTTAAATGGAAACGGCTTCTGGTTCTGGTAACTGTGTGGCTAGCTTTCTTGCTCATCCAAATCATTAAGGCAAGTAATGTCTTTTTCTTCTAGCTTTTTGGTTTTCGACACGCTCAATAGTCTTGATGTTGAGCTTTCATATTCTAATTAACGCTCGGTTTTAAACAGAATGAAATCAAGGTCTGCAGCACAATGTATTGGGTGCTTTTCTGCTTACAGGTAAACATATCTATGTCCCATATAATCTTTTATCCTCATCATTTCGCTAAATCTTCGTCTGGAACCGTTTTCCGATTGCAGTTCCCAGTTGCTTTCGCAGTGTTTGGATTTGAAGCGGTGAAATTGTTCAGAGAGAACAAAGAAAGGATAAGCTGTGGAAACACTGAGACAATCTGTGAGGCTACAATTGAATGGACTCCTCTGAGTCTTATCTTTTGTGCTCTTTGTGGGCTCGTTGGAGGCATTGTAGGCGGTCTCCTCGGATCCGGTGGTGGATTCGTTCTCGGTCCTTTGCTTCTTGAGATCGGAGTCATCCCACAGGTACACACACATTCCTATCAAATACATTATCTAAACCCCAAATCAATCAACTTGTTTCTTCATATCTTTTTCTCTACGTTTGAAACACAGGTTGCTAGCGCGACAGCGACTTTTGTGATGATGTTTTCTTCGTCTTTATCCGTAGTCGAGTTCTATCTCCTCAAGAGATTTCCAATCCCATACGGTAAGAACTCTTAGTACACAACATCATGAACATTAAAAGTGAAAGCAAAAGAAAGAAACTGATGATGGATCTTTGTTTTTACTGACAGCATTGTACTTGATGTCGGTATCGATTCTTGCCGGATTCTGGGGACAATTCTTTATAAGAAAGCTCGTGGCGATCCTGAGAAGAGCTTCGATCATCGTCTTCGTTCTCTCGGGAGTCATTTGTGCAAGTGCTCTCACAATGGGAGTGATTGGGATAGAGAAGAGCATAAAGATGATACATAACCATGAGTTTATGGGTTTCTTAGGATTCTGCAGTAGTCAATGAATTTATTTGGAGAAATCTTTTAAAAATCATTTGTTTTCTTTAGATATTTATTGGCCAATTTCGGTTGTCCAACACAATCATTGCAAATCAGATTGTCTTGTTGGGTTTGGTTTGCTTGTAGTCCAAGTCATTTTGTGATTTGTTCTTGGTCAATACATAGTTGACCATCTTCATAAATAAAGTTGCCAAACTTGATTTGTCTAAATGTTGTCATTTTTTGTTTTTTCTCTAGTAAACGTTGTATCATTTGGATTCTTTTCTTTTTTTGGGTCACATGTTCAATGTAATTAGTAGAAGAAAACAAAACAAATTTCGTAATTCCTAAATGGAGGCAATAATAAGACAACTGTGTGATAGTCAATGTTTTGACTAGGAAAAAGACATTTTAAGACAAATCTCACCACATGATTACTGTGTGATTGTCAATGTTTTGGGCTGTAGAGATCTTGCACTTGTATATATGCCATCAATTGTTTTCCATAGTAGAGCCACAAGAGTTTTGAGTGTTGTGATAATAATTAGCGTGGTTCCAAAACCACATGATTAAGAGAGATTGCAACTCGGATCATTTATTATTATATTTTTTGTACTTTGGTCCATACAGCAGGCATATGGCCAG